ACTTCTGCACTCATCTTTTCTTGCTATGTTGAGTGTTTGTATGTTGTTTGTGTGTGTGTGTGTGTGTGTGTGTGTGTGTGTGTGTGTGTGTGTGTGTGCATGTCCACTGTGTCCATCATAATTGGATTTTAATAATAGCATCCACTGTGTCCGGAAGTGTATCATCCGTGTCTGTCATGAGCGTCCTTTTCACGTACCCATCGCTGTATGTGGGTGTGTCTGTTTGTCTGTCATGCATACTTACACGTTTATGCATGAATGCGTACGTATGTACGTGTCTGCGTATTTATACTTCACGTAGACACATGCATACTTCACGTAGACACGTAAGTATGCGTGTATGTGAATGTCTGTGGAAAAAGCATTTGTAAATGTGCGTGTATTTGCTATGATAATTTATGTATTTGTTTATATGTTTGTGAAAAAATACATATGTATATGCATGTGAGTGTATGTGGAGAAACATGTGTATCTGTATGTGTGTATGTGAAAAGAGTACATGTACGTATGTGAATGTTACTTATGAAAAAGTGTTTGTGTACCCTGTGAATGTTTGTGAAAAAACCACGTGTATGTGTGCATGTGGCTTCTATAGAAAAACATGTATACATGGATATGAGATGCTTATAAGAGAAGCAAATGTATGTTCGTGTGTATGTATACATGTGGGTGTTTTTGGCAAAATACATGTATGTATGTGTATGTAGGTGTTTGTGTTTGTGTGTGTGTGTGTGTGTGTGTGTGTATGTATGTACATGTGAGTTCCTGGAGAAACACGTAAATCTGCATGTATGTATGTGTTTTTCTCTGAAGAACGCGCGTGTATTTGTGCATGTGTATGTCTGTAAAAAAAGCATATGTATGCCTGTATGTATTGTATGTGAGTGTCTGTCGAGGAAAATTAGCATTTCTTCCGTACCTCATTTCAGAGCAGCGCTTTAGTGGTTGATGGCAGTTGGCTCCGCCCCTAAAACGAACAAAATAGCCAATGAGCGCCGGCATTGAAATGGCTGTTTGGGCGCATTTAGTCGTAAAGCGATGACAATCAAAGCAATTCGTTGCCCTATTAGATGTACCAGTTTCCTGCCCCTTCTCCCAGACCCCTCCCACTGCCTCCGCCCTTTTCCTCCTTCGTCCCCTCCACCCACGTCTTCCATTTACACTCATTTTGCCTCTTCTGGTGCATACGGTGCCCACTGCGTTGAGCGGTATACTGAGAAATTATCAGCAAATAGAGGGTAACAACTGCACTCGTTTTTTTTGGGGAACATTTTCCTCTGAAGTTAGTGCTACCTCGGTGAAAAAGGTCGGTGGCTCAACAACGCCAGTGCAACAATTATCCCCTCTACGATTCGTTCATTCTTTTTGATGGTAAAATGATACCGGCACTTACCGAAAAGTCAGCCTTCCTTAACTTAATTCTTAAGTAATTCTCGAGCAAACAGCCAAATAGCACATCACTATTGCTAGTAGACTGTTATCACCTCAAATAAAACCGTTCGAATGAACTCTTCCACTACATTAGCCGTCTTCCTGGCGTTCTTTCGTTATCGCTTGGGTATCATTCAGTAACCCGCTTTATCAATCTGCTGTCTCTCATTCCTGCCACATGAACAACCCAGTTTTTTTGACATACATTGCTTTGATAATATTGCTCATACCAGACTGAAATCGCAAAACTTAATTCCTGCTACACCTTGGTACCCTTGTTGGTTGTAGCCAACTTTTTACCCAGTTGCATGTATGATAAAATCGGGATTTTTTTGATATTACACATTCCGTGTCAATGGGCTGTGCGCAAAAACTGGCTTGACTTTATTCGTTTTAATCGTAAAAAATAGCTCGTTTGGTTCCTGGACGTGGAGTGTTGGCCTCTGTTTGTCACCCCCTCAACGGCTTCCTCAATTTAGCACATTTGTTTACGCGATCCTAAATTTGTTGTCATTCATCCGGTTCTTGCACTCCTAATTCCGGTTTTTGCTTACAATACAAATTATATTTGACTGAATCACCGCAACCATGATAGGTTAATTAAGCTTTCAAGAAAGTCGAAAGGCGGAGAGAAAAGTGAGAGGGAGCGAAGTGGGGGTTTGGGAAGGAAGGAGAGAAGGAAGGGATGGAGGGAAGAAAGAGAGGAAAGAGGTACTACTATCAGCACTAGTAGTTATGTCTTAAGAAGCCGCTCCTGAGTGTTATCGTAAGATGTGAGGAATTTTTTAACTATAACTTGTAAATTATATGGTTTTCTATTTTTCAAAGATTTTAAGCTATTAGCAGCAGTTTTGTTCAGGTAGGCCACTTTTGAGCGTCGATGTTCCTCAAAGTGCGCGAAGCGAGGAGGAATTTTTAAAAACACTGTTGTAAATTATACGGGCA